TAAGTGTATCTCAATTGGTTGTAGGCACCAGATTGAAAGTGTCGTTTGATGATGAGGGATCAGAGATCATAGAAAACAAGACCAAAATAGTGCACCTAAAGTCCAAGAGAAAATGTGAGATGTATCCCTTCTTGCAAAAGCTCCTTTAGACTACCGAAGGCTCTCGCACTTAAACTTCAAGGATATTAACAAACTCGTGCTAGGTGATCATGTGCGAGGCTTTCCACTTCTAAAGTTTGAGAAAGATAATCTCTGTCCGGCCTGCGAACTTGGGAAGCAGAGCAGGAAGAGTCATTGAACAATTATAAACACCAAAGTAATCGAGCCACTTGAGCTTTTACATATAAATCTTTGTGGTCCATCTGCCATCGAAAGTATTAGTGGTAACAAGTATATCTTAGTTATTGTTGATGATTTTTCCAGATTTACGTCGGTTTATTTTCTTAAATAGAAATCTGAAGCTACTTCCAAACTCAAGAACTTCATCAAGTTGATTGAGCTTCAATTGGGAAAGCCAGTTCGGAGCGTTCACAACGATAATCGTTTAGACTTCAAAAACCATGTGTTTGAAGAGTTCCTAACTGAAAAGGGAGTTTCTCACAACTTCTTAGCTCCTTACAGTCCTCAATAGAATGGAGTTGTCGAACAACGAAACTGTTCTCTATGCGAAGTTGCAAGGACCATGCTATCGTTTGCGTTTAGGAGTAAAACAAAAGATTATCCATCACCCCTTATGAAGTTCTTAATAAGAGAAAACCTAACATTAAGTTCTTTCATGTCTTCAGTTCCAGGTGTGTCATTTTTAATTTAAAGGAGCAAAGGAACAAATTTGATATGAACGCATATGAAGGAATCTTCATAAGGTACTCTCTAACTTCGAAGGCATATAGGGTTATCAACAAAAATTCCAGAAAGATAGAATAAACCTACTATGTAACCTTTAATGACTCTTATCTAAAGAAGTTCCATACATCGGATCGTCAGTCTAAGGAGATATTTCCAGCAAAGAATCCCATGACCATTCCTCTCTCAAACCTTTATGATGAATTCCTAAACTTGTTTGATAAGCCATAGAAGGCGATCACTTCATAATCCAAAGAAACTGACGACAAGGAGGATGAACTAAAGAAGATTATCGATGATGCTGCAAAGAATCTAGAAAATAAGCCACCCATTCTAAAAGACTCTAACATTGCGTCTCAACCACAAGCTACGAGTGCTTCTCTTCAGGGGTAGGGTTTCACTTGGACACCCACCTCCAACACACCTGTTCAGGGGGAGAATGTTGTACCTGAAGTCAGCTTAGAACCAACATTCCAGGGGGAGAAGGTAACCCACAAAATTTCTCTACAGGGAGAGAATTCTACTCCGGAAGAAGAGCCATATCCATGATTCGAGGGGGAGAATGCGAATGCAAATGATGATTCAAATGCTCAGTCATAATTTGAAGGCATGAATGTTAAACTAGATCCATCCTATGATCCAAATTACTCCTTGTTGACAAAATGGACTCGCGATCATCCTAAAACACAAGTAATCGTAGAAGCATCTTCACGAGTTCTTATGAGAACACAACAAAAAGCGAAGCAGACTGCATTATTCTCCAAAGTGGAATTTTGCATGCTCAATTTTTTTATCTCTAAGATCGAACCCAAAAATGTTAAGATTGCTCTTGATCATTCTGATTGGGTGCAAGCAATGCAGGAGGAGCTCAATGAGTTTGAATGTAACAAGGTTTGGAGGCTAATTCCAACTCCGAAGAATGCATCATTCGTTGGTCTCAAATGGGTGTTCCAAAATAAGCTTGACAAATAGGGAAATGTGATACGAAACAAGGCTCAGTTAGTCGTAAAAGAGTATTGCTAAGAGGAAGGCATCGACTACGAGGAAACTTTCGCACCAATAGCGAGGTTGGAGTCTGTTCGCATTTTTCTAGCATATGCAGCACACAAGAACTTTGAAGTCTATCAAATGGACATCAAGTGTGCCTTTCTGAACGGAGAACTAGAAGAAATGGTCTATGTGGAACAACCACCTGGGTTCATAAACAAGAAATATACGGACCATTCTTATATTCTAGATAAAGCTATGTATGGCCTGAAGCAAGCTCCACAAGCATGGTATGAAACTCTCACTAGATTCTTAAAACAATCTAAATTTAAACAAGGCTTGGTCGACCCAACCTTCTTTCGCATGAAAGATGGTGAACATCTAATAATCGTCCAGATTTATGTTGATGATATCATCTTCGGATCTACTGATCCTAGATTAACTGCAGAATTCCGAAAGTTGATGGAGACTAAATTTGAGATGAGATCAATGCGTCCGATTAACTTTTTCCTTGGTTTAAATATTAGAAAAACTCAAGAGGGTATATTCATAAATCAGGAGGCTTATACAAAGACTTTACTTGCGAATGTCAGAATGGTGGGTGATTCGAAAGTGAAGGTTCCAATAGCATTCAGAATGAAGCTAACACCGTCTTTGGACAAACCAGCTGCTGATATGTCTCTCTGTCGACAAATGATAGGTTCATTGATGTATCTAACTGCTAGTCGTCCATACATCATGTTTTCTGTTTGCTATTGTTTCAGGTTTCAATAAAATTCTTGTGAACCTCACATGATGGCTGTAAAGAATATCTTCAGATATCTTAAACGAACCACTTCGCTCAGAATATGGTACCCTTCTAATTCATGGTTCTTTGTTCAAGCGTTCTCAAATGCTGATCTTGGCGGATGTCGTCTTGATCATAAAAGTACCATGGGAGGATGTCAATTTATTGATGGTAAACTCATCAACTAGCAATCTAAAAAGAAAACTTGTGTCTCACTATCGACTGTTGAAGCTGATTAGATTGCAGCTGCCTCATGCACCTCACAAGTCATTTGGATTCAAAGTCAGCTAAGGGACTATGGAATAAATATGAAACGAATTCCCTTATATTGCGACTCTAAAAGTGTAATTTGAATTTTCCACAACCCAGTGCAACACTCCAAGACAAAACATATTGCACTAATGTATCATTTCATCAAATATCACATGGAAGATGGCAATGTTGAAATTCACTTTGTGCGATATGTTGATCAACTGGCTGAGATCTTTATGAAGGCCTTATTTGAACAAACCTTCAATAGAATACTTCAAGTCTTAGGAATGATTGAAGCCAAATCCGTTATGAAACTACCTTTGTAGTTAGTAAGGATTCGCTGCGAATGGGTCCGAACGCTCAGAGTGGTTCGGAGTCAAATGTTCACGTTGCGAATTGGTCTGAATGTTCAGAGAGATTCGGAGTCAACTGTTCATTCGAAGGTTCGTAACTTCTTGTATCCTTTGTATATCTTGTTTTCTTAAGTCTTTGTTCACTTATGTTTTCGTTTTTATTTCTTTTTCATAAAACCCGAAACTCTCTCTCTCTTTCTCTCTCTCTCTCTCTCTCTATATATATATATATATATATATATATATATATATATATATATATATATATATATATATATTGTTTTTATTTCCTTTTCATAAAATCCAAAACTCAAAATTTTCTTTATTTATGTCATTATTTATCTTTTAGAAAATTTAAAAAACTACAAAAATATTTTCTTAATTTTCGGTTTTATTTGTTTTTATGAAAACATTAAAAATACCAAAAATAATAGATAATTGAGCAGGATTAAAGGAACACATCATGGTACTCTCAATTATGAATGATGTGGCTGGTATTTAATTCTGAATCTTTGCGCTAGTTAAGTGTCCCTAGAAGCATGTTGTTGCATGTTGTCTGAAGCCTCTAAGACTCTATGTTTGAAGCCTTAATGAATCGATAATACCAATCGTTTCTTCCCAATTAGGCTGATATTCACATAAGTCGTTGAGCTACCTTACTCTTCTCGTATTTAGCTAAGATTTGACTACTTGGTCATTCGCAATATAGCAGACGTACATTTATTTCTTCAGAACCATCTTTATCATTTCTCCATATAATATTCGCTTTCACATTCGCAACCCTTGAGACTCTCGGAGATTACCACTGAGGTTTATGGTTACATAACTTCTGTGTTCATGATCTTAAATCCGTTATTACCACGAATTGAGTGAAACCCAAAATCCAAAATCACATTCTGAATTGATGGCGAACAATTGATATGTTCTAGGTTTTCACCAAATAATTGATGTGAATCCACCTTCGTGGCCTGTACCATGAAATCTCATTATTTTATTTTTGCGAGATCTTAATGAAGTGTTCTAGACCTAATACATTTCTTCCCATAAGATCCAATTTCTATTTTTCTTAAGATTTTTATATTATCCAGCTACTCAGAATGATCTAAAGCATACTTGTTATTATGGCCACACTGGTCAGACAAGTACTTCTTTCGAATGTTCAGACTTATGTTAAGTTTTGGAGTTTGGTTCAAGATGAAGCCACCTTTTAAGCCTGATAAAAACAAGTCTTTCACTGTTTCTCAACAAACAGATGATCGTAATTCAATGGGATACCACCCAGACACTTCGAGTCTCTCTTGACTTCGAAGGAGGAGATTGTTGCCCAGGATCCAACAGTTTCATGTCTTTATTGACATTACTAGAATCCCTTAGATAACTTGCTTTATTTCTTTATCTTTGGCACACTCTTGCACGAAGATCCTTGTGATTTTAAAAAAGTCTGGTTCGTAGTTCTAATGATTACTTTCAAATTCGGAGAACATGAAATAGAGATCTATTATGAATAGGTAGAATAGAAAAGGCGGTCTTTAAGGGATAAGAATCGATTTAGGTGCGTGTTTTCAAAATTTCCTAACATCACACCTTGGCAGTTACGCCGCCAGGCATCACACCTGTCACACACGCTTTTTCAGGGAAACGGAACCGTCACCAGTTGGCTTTCTCTCTCCAACACTTACGTATAAAAGGAAAATCATCGATCAAATTCATTTACTACTATTAAATATTTTAGGCACAAGAAAACCCTTTTCTCTCATGACTGTTCACCGTCTTCTCCAATGGCTGCCTCATCAGAAACTCCTTCTGGTGCTGATCAATTTGCAACATCGGGGCTTCTTGGCATCAAGGCTAACCAAAATCTGATTTTGGATCTCGATCCGTCAAAGTATGACACCTTTCTACAACCACTGATAGAATGCTTGAGACGCTCTCCATTGGTTGATGCAATCACAAAGTCCGTACATGTTCTTGTTCATCTATCAAAAGCTTTTTTGACTGTTCATTATGAAGAGGGTAGTGCTACCATGATTTTCGAGGTTGGTAATCAACAATCGACCATCACCAAGTCTCAATTTAGCCGTTTATTTGGGCTTTCATCTACAAGAGATTTGATTGATTCTGAATCCATCCCTTCTTCTTCCATTCTGGAGATGTTCTACCAGATGCGCTACAAAGATTATCTCATAATTCTATTAAAGTTCAAAAAGCCCAATCTACCTCCCATGTGGAATGGATTTTTTACCCTAATTTTCAAGAGTTTCTCGGAGAGGGTAACTGTAACGACCCAATTTTCACGTCCAAAAATTTCATTTTTGATTAATTGATTTGCACAAACATTTGTAACAAAATATCATCCGATCATATCATTTAATAAAAACATGTCTCGTATCTTAAAACCGAATCGTAAAAACATAATAATGTCAGAGTACAAATCCAAGAATAACTCATAGTGTGGAAAACAAAGAGTGTGTGTATGATGTGCCGCTACCGCACCAGCTCCTTCCCCTTCGCTGAAGAGGTACCTGAAACCAAAACTGTAAACTGTAAGCATGTAGCTTAGTGAGTTCCCCCATCGTACCACAACCCATACAATCACATAGCCTACATACTGCCGGACAATTCTAGGGTGCCCGACCTACCCGGTACGGCCATTCTGGGGTGCCGACCTACCCATGTGGCCATTCTGGGGTGCTGTCCTACCTATGTCAAGCCATTATGGGGTACTGACCTACCCGTCGGTCCTAACAACCGACCCTCAGGGACCATTCCACCCCTTACTGCTACTATTATATATTTCATAACATAAACATATTATCATACATATCTGGGGTGTTCGAACTACCCTTCGGTCCTAACAACTGAACTTGGGGACTATTCCCCTCCTACTACCGCTATCACATATAACATATCATGCCAGCATATAAACATATCAGCACATATTATCAGATATATCCGGCATGTCTGACCTACCCTTCGGTCCTAACAACCGAACTCTACTACTATCACATATAACATATCATGCCAGCATATAACATATCATGTAGTAACAAACCTAGATGATATCACAAAAAAAATCATCTAACATACAACTCCTACTGGTGGGTCAGCATTGTGGTAGTAGACCCACCACTACTGGAAGGTAACTCACCTCGTAGTAGCTGCTGATTTGTGCGGGAATCCTCTGACTGTTGCCGTTGCTGCTCCAGAAATCCTCCAGCTATAATTCCCACAAAACACTTAGTCATACACTGCTAACTGCTCTTAGGGTAAAATGACCATTTTACCCCTGACCAAATCAAAGTCAAAGTTAACTTCTAGTTGACATGACTCACCGATTTGGCTCGCCAACTCGTCGAGTTAGGCGATGACTCGACGAGTTTTCCTTCTAAATAAACAACGATTGAATCCTCAACCGACTTGCCGAGTTGTATGAACAACTCGTCGATTTCATCTTCAACTGATACACAGGTCCTGTCCTTGACTCGCCAAGTTGTATGAACAACTCATTGAGTTCATCTTCATCCTTAAGAAGATTGCCTTGGACTCGCCGAGTCTGCTCATGCACTCGCCGAGTCCCATGAACTTCCAGAACAATGGCTTAGTCCAGAACGTTCGTCACTCCCCGGGACCCCCTAAAGCCTTTCCACACTCAACTAGGTCCTTATGACCCTCAACTGATATGGGACAGAAGCCTAGGACTCGTTGAGTCCAAGAATGGACTCGTCGAGTTGGGTCACATCCACTCACTAAATCTTCGATTTCTGATGTACAACCCTTGATCAAAAGATAGATCTATGCTTTTACAATCGATCTAGCACGTAAAGTTACAACCTTTACATGTTTGCATGGGACTTTGAGCTCAAAAGGTCCATAAACAAGCTATTTCAATGCATGGGGCCTTCTTTGAGTGCAAGAGCCACTCCTTTCTGCCTTGTAACCCCTCTAAGGATATAGATCTGAAACATCAACTCCAAACCATGCTTGCAATCATGGTTGGTGACCAAAATGGCTTAGAAAAGCCCTAGAAACTCCACAAAATGGGATCTAACAAATGAACTAACAAGGTATAGACTTTATACCTTCTGAAGACTGCAAATAATGCTCAAAATCGGATCCTTCTAGCCTCCTCTTGATCCTTCAAGATTTTCCTTCCTTCCTTGGGTCACAAAAGCACCAAAATCACTTCAAATGCCTTAGATTGCTTCAATAACGGCTAGGGTTTGCTATGGGGGTCTTCTGGGAGCAAATGGGACGAAGGAGGCTGAGTTAAGGTGTTTAAATAGGGTGAAAACCCTCGGATTAGGGTTTTTGTCCAGACAGGGCCTACTCGCCGAGTTTGGGACCCGACTCGTTGAGTCCACAACTTAAACCCCGCGTCTCATCCCACTTCTACTCGGCGAGTTGGTCCTTCAACTCGCCGAGTCCAAGGCCAAAATGCAAAATATTAAAAAAAAAATACGTACCAAAAACCAGGTGCTACAGTAACAAGTTCTGATAACGCAAGTAAGCTCTTTCTTACTATTATGTATGGCATTTACTCAAGGATCAATATGGAATATAATTTGATTCTTTGGACTCAGTTAGTTCGTAGTATTTTATCTATTACGAGGCATACAGATATCTCTTGTGCTTGGTTTTGGGATATTATTGTTCAGAGGGTGATCGAACGTCACAACATCCTGGTAATTGAGGGTTCGAAAGTTGCAACTATTCAGATCTTTCACACTTCTAACATTGTAGTGTCCGACAGCTCAAGATTCACTTTCATCGGATCAATTCCAGAATCGATGCTTCATAACGTTCCAACAGAAAGCGAGATTATCACCAAGTATCGCAGACAAACGGCATCCGATCCACATCCATTGACCGATGAAATGCGAAAAGCTCTAGAGGAACTAGACAAACCAAAGAAAGGAGGAAAACAAAAAGTTAAGGCTGGTCCCTCCGAGCCTGCTCGGACTCCAAAGAAGAAAAAGCGAGCCACTCGAAAGCCCAGGACACCTTCACCTGAACCTAAAAATGGAGAGGATTGGATTTTCATACCATCTCCGATGTTCGTAGATCTGAGAAGGACCAGCACTAGACTGGAAATACTATTGTGTCTTCGCAACCCATGGTTTTGGAGTCCTTAACTATGAATCCTGAGGTAACTTTTTCTGTACCAACTTCTATTCCAATTATAGATGACTTTTTCCAGGATAATACTCCACCTTCTCCTACTGCTACAACACCAATCACGATTTCTTCATGCCTGACTGTTTCTATGGGTGTTTCGCAACCTCAAGCTTCGATTCCATTATCTACACCTCTTTTCATTGACTCAACAGGAACAACAACAAAAATCACAAGTTCACCACCAATCACTGCCAACGTATCTGATACGGGGGCAAGGGCTTCTGGTTTTTCCTCTGGTACTGAGTTTACTCCCATCTCACCTCTTCATAGAGATGATCCTGATACAATATTTGGTGAGGAATGGGATGCAGTTGAAGATTTCCACTTCAGTCCATTTAATGTCCAACAAGAAAGTGACGAAGATGATGCTCCAATGACAATAATGCAGTTCAAGGCCCTAAATTCCAAGTTGGATTCTTTACTTGAGTACACCAAAGCCTCTTCCAGCAATGAATACTCCTAAGGTTCTATCAAAGCCTTTCTTGAAACACTTACGAAGGAGCATGCTACAAATCTCACCCTCACAAACAAAGCAATTGCTGATTCCGAAAAGACTTGTAAGGATACGACCGAAAAAGTCGATAAACTACTTTCTGACATTAAAAACTTTATGGAGGACTTCGGAACTTCATCCGAATGTAACACTGCCTCCACAAATACATCCACCAACAACCTTGTTTCCACTCTCCAATCTGAAAAGGCGACTCTTACAAAGATTCGCTCTAAGATTCAAACTGGCAACACTGAGTTCCAAACATCCATCTCCTCCAAAATTGAAAAACTTCAGGATGATTTGGCTCTTCAGAACAAGATAATGGATGAGCTCGATGTTAAAACTAAGAAGGTGAGGGTTCTCTCAGTGAATCTTTCGCATGGGAATTCCCAAATTACTGAACTGAAATCCGAGAAAGCAGTTATCAAGTGTTGTGTTACTGATGTGAACGCCGAATTGCACAGTTTAATCAAGACTCATGATTCTCTCCTTACAGTCTTTGTTCTTCAGCATCTGGCAGAGAAATTGAAGCCTATCTTCTCCATGCTCGACAGAATTCAAGGTGTTTTGGAATCTTCTATTCCAAAACAAGGGGGAGAACCGGCAAAAACTTCTGCTGCTAGTAAAGGAACTGAAGGTAAAGATGAACATGAGAAAAAACCCAAATCTAATAATCCAAAGGGTAATGAAGCTTCAGCATCAAAAGGGAAAGAGAAGATGGGTAATGATGATGATGAGGAAGAAGAACATGAAACTGACAATTTAAAGCGTAGAGCTCGCGATGCTGAACTATATGAAAACTTTCGAGTCGCTAAAGAGACGGAGGAAAGAGAGAAGGAAACACGTAAAGCTAAGGACACTTTGAAAATTCAAAGAACTCTTTTTCCTTTATGGACATTAGAGCGAATTCTGAATGAATCCATTAATAATCCAAATGTTTATTGGTTAGAGCCTGTTGCATATTTTGAGTTGGAGAACTCTCCAGATTCGCAACATAATCTGCCAATCACACCAAAGGCCTTTCAATTTCGTAGTTTTGACAAGATTGTGAATGCTCCTTTTTCTGGAAGCTCAAAGAAGATCACTGTTGTCAAGGTGTTCAGACCAATTAAAATTGAGAGCTTCATTAATGCTCGCTTCAAGGTTTCTTGTGGAGTTGCGAGTTCAACGTTCGAATTTACTCTTGCTGATTTGCCCTGCCTCAACCCATTCAATTGGATTTCTCTGTTGCTTCTTCTACTGAAGGATGAACAGAAGTTCGAGCCCATTTTTGCACATATTAAACGAATGTTGTTTTGTTACATCTAAGAGGTTGGGAAGATCGATTTGGAGATTGCTATTGTCCTTAATAAGAAACCTACAGTGCTTCCCAAGGAGCCTCCAAAGGATCTTGATACGATGAAATTGGGGAGGATATAAAAGAAGGATTGGAGTGTCGTATTTCAGATATGAGAAAGACCTGTTGCGAACTTTCATAGAGTTTGCTTCTTTTTTCCAGACAAGCATCTATACTCTTCCCCGTGTCTGTAATACATTATGGAGTTTGTAAGTCAGAACAAAGTGAACAATGTCGCGGACAAGAAATGCTTTTCTGATATGATCAATTGGTACGTCCTGGTTCGCAAGATTATGCTGGCATAAGGCCCAAACTTTTTAAAGTTCAAAATCGACAACAAGCTGAAGAATCGGCCCTCCTTATTTGACATAAAGGGGGAGATTTTTGGGTTATTTAAATAGATTGTGTCAAATTGTATTATGTATGTAGTAATCCATCTACGGATTGATCCTATCGATCCATTATATAGCTAGGGTTTAGCTTTAAATACTGCATGCATGTGTAATATTAGGGTTAATCGTCTGGTTATTTCCCTGCCGTATCTTTAAAGTAGAAGTCCTTCATCGAGCTCTTCTAAGACACTTATTATTAATCATTCGGAACCAGTTTGATTATTGCTTCTTGTTTGATTTACTTTTTTGTTTTGAATTTTTCGATCAACTCTTGAATTATTCTAACACCAAGAGTGCCCATTTCCTGGCGATTCGGGAGAGCTCGTCGGCTGAGAAATTGGCTGATGTGTATATTCTCAAGATCGTTGCTCACCATGGGGTTCTGGTCTCCATTGTTTCGGACCGTGATGTTCGGTTCACCACTTATTTTTGGCGGAAGTTCCATGAGGAACTGAGCACGAGGCTGCACTTCAGCATAACTTACATCCGTAGACTGATGGCTAGAGTAAGAGGACCATTTAGACTCTTGAGGATATGTTACAAGAAAGTGTCATTGATTTTGGTAGGAGTTGGGACTCCTACCTACGTCTTGCAAAGTTTTCCTACAACAACAGTTTCCACTCCAGCATTGGTGCTCCGCCTTTTAAGCTTTTGTATGGGCGGAGATGTCGTACCCCAGTCTGTTGGGGTGAGGTTGGTCACAGGGTCATGGGTCGAACCAAGGTGGTTCTTCAGACTACAGAGATGATTCAGCAGATCAGGTAAAGATTCTAGACTGCTCAGAGTCGGTAGAAAAGCTATGTCGACCTACGCCAATTTAAGTTGGTGTTTTAGGTCGGTGACATGGTGTTGCTGAAATTCTCACCTTAGAAAGGTGTGATTTGTTTCAATAAGTGGGGGAAATTATGTCCCTGATATATCAGACCATTCCGGATTATTATCAGGGCTGGCAAGCTTTCCTATAGATTAGACCTTCACGAGGAGCTAATTCAGATCCATATCACTTTCCATATTTTACAGCTATGGAAGCTCGTGTTGAATGAGGATGTGGTTATGTCATTAGATAACATTTAGGTTAATGAGCGCCTAAACTATGTTGAGAGGACCATTTGCGGAGCAAGGAAGTACCTAGGTAAAGGTACAATGGCAAAATCGGAGGGGCTCCAAGTGGATCTGAGAGCCAAAGGATGAGATGTGGGAGCACTACCTAGATTTGTTTGATATAGCAAACTTCGAGGATAAAGTCTAGATCAAGTGGGGGAGAGTTGTAATATCCTGGGCATTCATGTATTTTCAAATCCTTCTTTTGGTATTTAAATTTGTTATTTTGGCCCTAGAATTGGTTGGAATTAGCTCTAGTGGCAAATTGGTAATTTCTTAGGAGCATGAGTAGTGAGCATCTTGAGCTTAAAGTGTGATATTTGTATACCAAAAGGAGAAGAAAGTACATCAAAGGAGTCAAGAAAGGAAAGCAAGCTTGTAGATCTTGGATATCATCTTCTTGGGAAGCTCTATAAGGTAAAAAGCTTCTACCTTTATGCTTGGATTGTTTAGATCTTGTTTTGGTAGCTTTATGGTGTTCTTCTTGTCCCAAAAGTCCTAATATTGTGCATGCTTTGTTTTGGACGTGTTTGGATATCCTTTCAGACCCAGGGATGGGTTCTAAGTCATAAAAATGAGTTTCCTTTAGCTAGTTTGGATCCTTGTTCTTTGTAGGAGGTCTTAATGGATTAAAACCATGTATTAAGGACTTTTTGGACGCCCAAAGTCTTAAAGTTTGAGACTTTATGATTCTAATGTACTTTTGAGTCATGATCTGAAGTTTGAGATTAAGTACTTAATCCATTAAGCACTTATGAATGTTTTAAGCTCTACGAGGGTACTCGCCATGTAAGGCAGTGTACGCCCCACGTACTGATTCAACCACTCCTATGGTGGTCAAGGCAAGGCGAAGTACACCCAGAGTATCGAAGGAGTATGCCTCACGTATGCCTTCTGTTTGGATTTTGGACTATAGGCTTCGGGTATTGACCCATCTGTTAGGCTTTGATGCTTGGGCCCTAATGGACTATTTGGATAAGTGTGTTTTGGGCTAATTTGAGGATCGTACCTTTAGATAAGGCCCAATAAGGGGTTTGGGACCAATTTGGAAAATTGGGCTAATCATGGGCCTTGAAGTAATTTGGGCCTTTTGGATCAAAGATTTGGACTTGGGCCTTGGCCCAGTTAGGGAAGGGGTAAAATGGACATTTACCCTAATTATGGATCCTTAGTCAAGGATGGTATTCCAATTGTTAATTGGATGTTTATTTATTATGATAGTTTGGGATTTTCCATGAGCCGGCAGTCAGAGGTTTTAGTGTGGTTAAACTTTATGAGGTGAGTTTTCCTCACTATACTTTCGGGTTGAAGGCACCAAGGTCTACCCATTGGTTTGATAACTTGATATGGTTGATATGTTGATTATGTTATAGATATGCATGCAAGTCTTGATATGCTAGTCTGGTAGATCTATAGGACTACCTGTGATATTGCTTGTTTATCTATATATGATGTTATTTGTTATATGTCGACATATTGTGTGGGTTGGGTTGAGGTTTTACTTGTTGGATTAGTGTCTAAGTCCATAACTATTTTGGTATGTACTTGACCCGATGGTGCATGGTCCTTTTGGGTTTCCTTCACCAAAGCAACTTGATAGGATGAATTATGGAGAGAAAGGATTAAATATGATTTATTAATATATTATGAGAATAATATATTAAAGGAGAAATCATATTGTTTAATTAATATTAGTCAATAATTAATTGGTAATTAGTTTTGTGACTAAAAGAGATTAATTAAACTTAAGGGACTGGAATTGTAATTATAAGATAATTGCAATTTGGGCTATGGATTGCCTTAAATTAAGGAGTGGATGAATTCTATGGGGAAGCCCATAAGGAAATCGTCCAAGGCCTTAATTAAAGGAGTCTATGGGTTGCTTAGGGCTTAAGCATCCAAATTAGGGTTTCCTTGTTAGATAACCCTAATAGCCTCAATATATATATGACCCTTATGACCCAAAAACGTGGTGAAGCTTTCTTCTAGGGTTAGAACACGTTTTGGGCAGCCTCCATCTTCTCTCCTCTTCATCCTCTTGCTTATGGTGTTTGTGAACCATTAGAGGAGTGACATTTGTGACTCTAAGCTTTCTAAAGTCAATACAAGGAGGAATTGAGATTGTTATTGCTACATAACAATCAAGGTATGATCTTAAACCTATTATCATGTTAATATGATTACTTGAATGCTAGAATTAGGGTTTATAGTCTTGGATAACTTACATGTACAATAGAGAAACCTAGATCCAAGCATTAGGGTTTGTATGAGCACATAGGATGTTCTTATGACAATAACCCATCAGTGGTATCAAAGCCTAGATTGGTTTCTATTGTATTGATGCCTTGTATGTTGAAAAAATTCGATTTTTGTGGTTCTACATGATGGACTCGGCGAGTTGCCCCTACTCGGCGAGTCTATGGAGGTACTCGGCGAGTTCGAGCGTCAGATGGAGCTATTTTCGGGATTTCTTGTTGTTTATCTTTGAGATAGTTGACTTTATCATATTAGCTCAATATAAATCCGATTTTATGATATATTTGACTATATTCTTGATCTAATTAAAGATAATTATCAATTAATAAAATATTTGTTTCCTTATGTGATAATTGATCAATTATTTTGATTAAATTGGTAAATTGTTTTGCAAGAAATCATTAAATGAATCAAATATGGATAATTATGTGATTAAATGTTAATTTAGATTATTTGTTATTTGCACCTTGTTGTTATGAAAAGTTTCATATTTTCCCCTTTAGGTTTTATAGTTTAAATTTGAACCCAAAAATTTTGTTGTTTTGAAATTTAAATAGTTAAAACCCTAATGTTTTGAAAAGGTTTTAGAACTTGCCCTCAAGTTTTGGAATTTAAATTTTAATTAATAGTTTAATTTTGATGCATATTTAAATTCTAAACCCTAATGTTTTGAAATGTTTCAAAAACTTGCCCTCAAGTTTTGGAAATTAAAAGTTGATTAAAAGGTTTAATTAGGAATGTTAAATTCTAAAACCCTAGTAATGTTTTGAAAAGTTCAAATCACACCCTTGTGGTTTTATTAATTAATTAAGATGTATAATGAAAAGAGGTTTAATAAATCCATAAAAGTTTAGGTTTACAATTTAATTGAATTAAAAGTATAATTGTTAAATTTGACCACCTAGTATTTTAAAAGTGTAAAATACACCCTATACTATATATAACATTAAAAGTCTGACATTATATATATATATATATATATATATATATATATATATATATATATATGAGTAAAAGTCAGTCTTACCGTTAGTAGGCCTCATTCACGAAGCTGGTCTATAAGGGGTGTTTAAGGAAATTGCCTATAATATGGCGATTGAATGGGTATCCACTCTTACCCACCGCACTCTTGACTAGTGGAGGGTCGTTAGCCGAACGGGTAGGATATGACGAAACCTTCCATTATAAGTATGATGAAGTACAAAAGTAACTAAATGTTTTTCAAATTCCCAATCTTAGTTACTTAGGCAAAGTGAATTGATGCAATTCCATGAAATTACACTTTGTGCCCTTGCGAAGAAATTAGTGGAGCGTGTATGGTTTACCGGCACACTAAATGGTTCTAAGCAAAGGTAGCAAAGGGTGATTCAATGTTTGTCATAGTTCAGTGGAGCGTGTGTGGTTTACCGGCACATCGAATAAGTGACTGTAACATGTGAGGGCACCATGTAAATTTGCATGGTTATTCACACCCGCTTTGTGATCCTCGGCATCCCAGTCACAAACAAGAGGGGCATATCGAGATTTAAACATGCCATTGAAAGTTCAATGAATCTCAAAGGATCTAGGAGTTTTCATAGATTTAAAACTTAAATTTCTTTTTCGTTTTTCATGGTGGAAATTGGTAAGTCGTCATTCACTTACCTTCAAATATTCTGCAAATAGATTACGGCATCCATTTTTCTAGGTTGTAGCATATTGTGTTGGGTCCTAGCCTTAGTATTTCATTTGGGTGATTTACTAAGGACTCAATCAATCAACTAACTTGAATTTGTTTCTCCCGTTTTATAGATGTCAAAGTTTGACAACTATGGTCTTCCCAAATCCCGTGGAACAAGCATTCCACATGAAGATGGTATTCCACGATTCGATCGAGGAACAAGAAATCATGCTTCATTTCCTCCACCTCCTCCAATTGTTCTCCCTAACCCACAAGATCGAAGAATTGAAAGGTTCAATATCACTAAGGCCCTATTGGAAATGAAACATGAAGATGGTAAACCTGTGTGTGCCCACGTTCTAGGAATGAAATTACACATTGATAGGTTGATAATGTTGGATGTGTCATTCCCGGATGAGTTGGCTGTGAATTGGGTTTTGCAGTCACTTCTTGAATCATATAATGAGTTCAAAAGAAAGTATTATATGATGGATCATGACGACAACCTCATTAACCTAACTTACATGCTCATTACTGCTGAATCAGAAATGATTTGGCGAAGCAATGGAGCATATTTGTTGGGAAAGTCAACCGACCATGCTTCCAAGGACGTTCTAGGAGAACCGACCTGTGTTTGCTGCAAAAAGAAAGGGCGTTGGATACAAGTATGCCAAAAGAGCCTGAAGAGTCCAAAAGATGGGACAGTCAAAGTGTATGGCTGCGCTTCAGGAAAAATCCACTATCTAACTCGATTAAGTTCCTATTCATTGATTCATGATACATAATGTGATAAGATTGCATTTGAATCTTTTGTAGGATCGATGAAAGGAGAGGAAACTTGATGAAATATAGCAAGATGAGTCTAATCACAAAGAAATGGATCTCGATCTCATAAATTTGAAGATTAGATTTTGAGCTTAGATAGTTATGATAGAGTTGTTAGAAATTTTCCTTTTGAAATAGATAGTTTTCAATGGATTTTGCATTGTAAGGACAAATGTTTTCCGCTGCTTTTATAAATAAAATAAATTTTCGTTTGACTTATTTATTTGTTTATTTCCTTGCAATGAAATCGTTATGAAAATTGGTGTTTGTATATTTCTACAACAAATGGATATGATTCCTATTTATGGTGTTTATGGAAAAGTCGAAAATTTACCAAATAGGGAGAGTTTCTCATCGCCAAAGTTTCAATTGGACAGAAATTTGGAATCATGCAACTTGGTTGCACGAAGAATGAGAAATTTCATATTTGGAAATTAGACTAATTCATTGACAAAGTGTCGAGTGAAGGACTAGGAGATCAAGCACACAAAGTTGTGTGTTGATCAAGGTCACCATAAGAGTAACAAAGATATTCGTCATGATTTACCAAAGGTTTAGTAAATATGATTATACTTATAAGATTAAGTGTAATTCGGAATTGATTAAAAAGGTTTAAATCAATGGCAGAACGAATAAGAAGAATCAAGTAGGCGGAAAGATAAAAGGTTCTCCATTCTAAGAAGAAGGGAGAGTACCGTTTATGATTTATGATAGGTCTTAATGATTAAGAACCATATCTCAATTGATCCTCTAAGTGAGTCTTAGTACAATTGTATGTTTAAGAAGAGGAATCAAGAATTGAAGAAATGGTTAAATCAAGAAGTCAATTATACTTCGTTCCAAAACAAGTCTTAGAGTTAAGATTGTGACAATGAGTGACAAGTATTAAAAGGTTTATAACGTTCATCAAATGTGGAAAGCTGTGATGTCTTGGATAAGACAAAGACCAACTAGGACCAATTTATGAAGTGTTTTGATAAAAACTACACTAACTCTTGAATATTTGTTTGTCAAGAAATGTTTATTGACAAGAGAATCTTATATGTCAAGGAGTCAGTGGGAGTCTTAATGGTCTTGAAAGGTTTCAAGAACAAATCAAATAAACCTTATCGATCATCACTAGCACACGAGTTGAGGTTAACAACCTATCGTGTTGACATTATTTTGTTTTCTATGCCATTCCAATTGAGTCAATTGTGCATATGAGTCCTATGAGTTCTCGTTTGAATGCATAAAAGGCAAGGACCTTAATAA